AACTTGGATGACTATAGGCTACACTCTCAGCTAAGGCCATGAGTTTTCATGCTGTCATCTGCCTGACTCTCGCTCTCGCTCTTGCTCTCTCTGTCTGTCTGTCTGTCTCCTCTCGCTCTCTCTCTCTCTCGCTCTCTCTGTCTCTCTCGCTCTTGCTCTCTGTCTCTCTGTCTCTCTGTCTCTGTCTCACTCTCTCTCTCTCTCTCTCTCTCTCTCTCTCACTATCTATGTCTCTGTCTGTCTGTCTGTCTGTCTGTCTGTCTGTCTGTCTGTCTGTCGGTCTCTCTCTCTCTCTCTCTCTCTCTCTCTCTCTGCTCTCCTCTCTTCTCCTCTCTCTCTCTCTCTCTTCCTCTCTCTCCTCCTCTCTCTCCTCTTCTCTTCTCTCTCTCTGTCTGTCTCTCGTCTCTGCTCTCTCTCCTCGTGCCTCTTCTCTATCTCTCTCTCTTCTTTCCTTTACCGTACTCTGTCTCTCTTTTCTCTCTCTCCTCCTCTGCATCCTCTTCCTATCTGTCTCCTCATCATCTTCTCTCCTCTGTCCTCTTCCTCCTATCTTCTCTCTGCCTCTCTCCTCATTCTCTCTTCTCCTAGGTGCAATCTCTCTCTCTTCTCCTCTCTCTCTCTCTCTCTCTCTTCTCTCTATCTATCTCTCTATCTCTCTCTCTCTCCTTTTGCTTTGTCTATCACATAACAACACTCTCTCTCCCAGCCAATAGATAATTCAGAGTAATTCACACTCATCAATGCTCTGGATTCCTGTTACAACTCATTGGTAGGAATGATAATAAACTACTAAAAGTTAAGCAGGAACAAGTCATTATTGAAACCATGTACATGGATAAACACTAGCTAATGACCCTTTTCAAAATAAAATGGCACAATGTAGTCTACACTTGTGTTTCCCCCCGTTAATATAGATGTTTATGGTTGCCCCCACCCTACCTCCAGGTTCTTGAGCTCGTTTCATCTTTGTAAAAAAATCTTCATGAAAAATGATCTTTACAATCTAACCTATAGGTATAGGTGCAAATGTGTGTGTACATGCGTGATTGCGCTCATATCTCTGTTTGTGTGTACATGCGTATGTATGTAAATTTTCCTGTCCTGCTAAGTATTCAAAATGTAACGAGTACTTTTGGGTGTCAGGGAAAATGTATGGAGTAAAAAGTACATTATTTTTTTTAGGAATGTAGGTGAGTGAAAGTTGTAAAAAGTACAGATACCCCCCAAAAAATACTTAAGTAGTACTTCAAAATATTTGTACTTAGTTACTTTACACCACTGGCTCCGTGCCCATAGTAGTCTGGGTCACACAGGCCACCGGGTTCATGGTAATGGCCTCCCCTCCTGAGGGGAAAGTAGCTGCCCCGGGCCCTGATTGATAAACCAATAAATCTTTAGTGGCCTTGATAATTAAGCTGTCAGGCCTGCTTGTTACTGACAACCTTTTCCCTCTGGTGCTTCTGCCTCCGTGTTTACTCAAGCCACGCATTGCCTCCCTGCCCCAGCAGTGCACTATATTGGCTAACCATACAGTACATAGGCCACACACTTGTTTCATGTCAGCTCAATCAAATAGGTTAATATATCCTCACCAGCATGCATTTAACCTCGTCCAGCAACACACCTCCTCTATTCTGCATGTTGACATGGATTGGGAATCCTTGTTTTCTGGCTGTGTAGTGTAGTAGTCCCTGGTAGGGCAGGGCTGTATCTAGCGCTATACTGTTCCCCTCCTGAGGACATAAGAGCATGTTGGAACAGAGCCCTGTGGCGAGTGTATATCCTCTCCCCTCAGAGCACTCTCAGCAACTCCCTCTCAGCACGGGTGGCAATAGTCCAGAAATGGGGAGGGATAAGGGAGTCTCCCCCCTCCTTAAAATAGTGATGATACTGAGATTGTACTGTAGGCATTTTTGTTTTTTTCTGTTTCCTGTGTTTGATCTTAAATACTCCCCCCTCCTTCCACTCCCCAGTGTTGTGCTATGTAGATGGTGTTTTGTGTAACATCAAATGTGTATTGTTTCCCTTTGCGAAGAATATAATGCAAGTGTTGAATAGCTAATTAGATAGGGGTTGAATAGACTATGATCTCAGAGATTCAGCTTATAACCAGTCAAAGGTCCAAGTAGAATCAACTAGGCATAACCCCTCTAGTGTCTCCACCTTGACCATATGTCAATTTATGTATTTATGTATCTGTTGTGATGTGCTCTGTTGTGATGTGTTGTGATGTGTTGTGTTGTGTTCAGACCACAGGGCTTGTGGGGTTCCTGGTGAGTTCAGAGTGTGCTCTGCTTTGGTGACCACAGACAGACAGACAGACTGACAGACAGACAAGCAGCAACAGTGTAGTTTTACAGTGCTGAGTGGAAGCAGCTGGTCTCTCCCTCCTGCTTTCTGTAAACACCCAACATCCGCTTTAATCACACCCGGCCCTCACCCCCCAGTTCTCAGCCATCTCAGACCTCAGCCCCCTCAGCCCAATGCCAGCGGTGAGCTCACCATCATTCCCCCAAATCCTCCTGCCCCTCCACTCTGTGTCTGGTCTGGGGCATACGTCCCTACACCCCAGTCCCCGTCTCCCCATCCAGCTCGTTCACGTCCAGTCCAGACCAGCCAGACACACAGAGAGGGAATGTGCTTAAACTACAGTACACTGACTTTGGTACATGTTGGCAGCAGTGAGCATTGTCTAAAGCGACAGGCTGTAGTGCACATTGAGGAACTAAGGAAGCTGCAGTGGCCTGTGCCTGTGTGTGTGACTGTGTGTGTGTCTCACTCACTGTGAGGTATAACTAGCTACATGGAGGGGTCTCAGGGATGTTAGCCACTCAGATGGCTCGGTTGACGACCCCTCCTTGGGCACAGGGGGCACTCTCTTGGGGGAGGTATCAGAGACAATCCCTGTCTAGCCCTGGATTCTGGATCTTCCCTGACTGGATGCCCCCATTCCACACACGCCACATGCAAACACATGCTCCTTCTAAATGGCAGAGCAATCCAACTCGCCACCTATGGCGTGCCCTCTCTCCCATCCAGGCTTGATATGGAAAGTACATGCATATGTATTCATGTTGCTCTGGGTGTCATGGCCAGCAGCAAAATCATTGAGAGGCATCTATTCCTCCACAGTGGAACCTAATTACACCTCGCCTTTATTAGTGAGAGGAGAAGGTACTGTACATTCGTTCAGGAGTCTTTTTGTTGTTTTTGTGCATTTCATATCTAATTCCCTCCTTTTAATGTCAGCCGTGTCTTGCGTTCCCATTTGATTGTAGTTCCCCCACCCCAACACAGGATACATCTAGCTGTGCTATTAAGAAACAGGAATAATGGAGTTATTTGCATAGCAACATAGCATGACCATGTCCACTAGCTGTGTTGTGTAACTTTATGTGTTAATCATCATTACATATGATGATTTATGTAAGGTATATTTATATAATGGATAATAAGGTTAGGAGGCCAGGGTGTTGGGTGTTGATGATGATGAAGATGACAGTGGTGAAGATGAAGGTGCATAGCCTACAGTAGGAGGGGAGATATATAATGATAACATACTGGAATCTCCTGTATCATCAAAGTGTTGTTGGGTAGATTCTACATGGAGGTTTATTATTATTATTAGACTCAGAGAGAGTAGGACTGGGACTGGCAGGGTGAGTAGAGGGTTAGTTACTCTAGTGAGATCTCTTGGTGCTGGGAGGAGCTCTAATCGTCTTTGTCAACCTCCTGCCGGGATGTCAGGACTCATATAGGTGCTCATGGCCTTACAGAGGAACAGGAAGACATCAGCGGGGTGCGATGCCTGCCGCTGACGATGACGATGTGTTCCCACACACGGGCGCCTGCCCGCGGCGGGCAGAGAGAGCAAGGCAGCATCAACGTGCATGGCCCCCGCAACACGTAACCTCTTGTCGGTCGGAACCGGCGGCGGCGGTGCGAACGCCAATTACTTTAGAGGGGAGGCAAAGGAACGGGCGAGGGAGGGTGTGAGCGGCTGCCCTGTGTGTGTTCTGTGGTTCTCTGTGCCCTCTGTCACCGCCACTCAGTGGTTCCGCCAGCCCAGTGGACAATGGAGGGAGGCAGTGTTTCCATGGCTGATCAGTTCAGGGCATTGCCAGCCACAGCACACTCCCCTGTTCTTGGTCCTTTATCCCCTGGTTACTGTTTATCTCAAACACAATATCTAATACATTTTACTGATCCAAACCTACGTATGAATTCAAAAAATACTAATATGTAAGAAAATGAACAATGTATTGAGAAGCCAGCCCGTGTTGTGAATCAAAATGGTGGTGGATATTTCCACTGGACTAGTACTGGAGGATATTGCTGTTCTCAGCAGAGTGGTCTGTAAACAGTGTTTGTTGATATTAGTATATTGCCAGATTCATCACACAGCAGCTCCAATCCTCCTGAGCATCCTTACCCAGCTCCCCACCATCCAAACATTGTCAATCCTACTATATGCTGACTCTGGATGGAATAAAACCTATTAAAATAGTGTATTATTATGACCAACTTATACACTGAATCAACATCATAACAATGCAAGTGCATACACTACATTCCTTGTACGATTGTACCTTGAATGAAATGAGAAAATCTGAGTCAGTTTTCCACAGGAACAGCTCTGTAATTGTCTATAGGGACATGCAAACTAATACTGTAAAAAGGAGCCATATATTATTGTTTTACACAGACATTGTTGTAAGAGCTAATGTACAGATGTAGGATCTTAATTTGAGCCAGTTTGCTACAGCAGGAAAAAAGTCCTGCAGCAACAGAAAATGTGAATTATTATGTGGATTATAATTCATTTACATGTTTGTAGGTGTTGATACATTTTTCATTAGGGCAAATCAAGTCTGACATTTCTAAGTGGAAATGTCAACATTAGAAGCCTTTTAAAAACTACATCTGTAGAGCCCTTAATGAAATAAATCCTCCATCTATTTGTTTCCAGGGATGATGATGACATTAACGATGTGGCGTCCATGGCGGGGGTGAACCTGACTGAAGAGAGCGCTCGTATCCTGGCCACCAACTCTGAGCTGGTGGGAACACACATCCGCTCCTGTAAAGATGAGGCCTTCCTACACCCGGGCCTGTTACACAGACGCATCCTGGAGACAGGTACGGCCAGTACACTACTACAGTACATTATAGTACACGATGACACCCTCACTAGAGAAACCTCTAAATACTACCCATATAGTGTATGATAATGAGGCCTTGTTCACAGCAATAGAACAATATAAGTTGCATACACAGTAAGTCTTTAAAGTCATTAAATTATAGAGAATTGAAGTGGAGTCATGTACTGTATCATTGTCTTCACGGTTAGCATTATCGCCAGTTCCATAATAACAATTCCATAATCATAATCATCAAGTGTTGCCAATGACGCTGATCTTCATTTTTATCATAGTGATTATTATCTTCAGATTTATCTTGAATTTATTCATTTGCTTCTGAACATGTGTACCAAACAGAATCATGTTCCTTCAAACTTGTGCTGGTTTAGAAAATATAGGCCAGACCCCTGTCTGTGTGTGTGATGAAATCTATCTGTTAGCTTTGTGTTTTCTTTCATTCTCCTTGTTGTTTCTGCATCTGTACTGTCATCACTAAAGACAGACAGTTTGATACTTCCCCTGATGGGATGTTGCAGGCCAGGTCGGAGCAGACCCTCCTTTCTGGCCTCCCTCATTTTAAACTTGGTGCACTTAACAGTTCTTTCACCTCCTTTAATGAATTCTTCAGTGGCTGTCTGAACTTACTAGACCCCAGGCCCTGACATAAATACTTTATAGGGCTGTCTTTTGAAGGCTGCTTGTCAGATTGTCCTGTGGACTGAAGGAAGAGAGTTCAGAGTTACAAGACTTGATTTTGTTCTTCTTCTGTCTTTTGATTGGAGCTCCACATACAGATACTGTCCTATTTGCGAATGTGAGTTGACACACGGACCAGTGGAATCAGCCTCTGTTTATATTAGAATTTATTTGAGGGTTTACCATGTGATAGACTAGTATCTACAATGTAGTGGCCTCTTGTTAGGCATATTCAATGGTGGCACTGGTAAATGGCACTTTGTTACACTTCAGGCCTTTTTGCACTGTGTCGGAAATGTCTAAGCCTAATGTGTGAAAGTGCAATTCAATAATATTACCATAAACAACTAAGTCTTGAATACACGTTGCATTAAAAATCACACAGTAGAATAGAATTCAAACACAACGGGGAGTTTTAGTGCTTAGACGTTTCTTCTTGTTTTACCTCAATTAAGTATCCAAGGTGACGGTGGCAATGAGGCCCAGAGGTCATGTGCTGTTATACGGTACCTTGGTGAGGTTGTTATCCCGTCGCCTTGGGGAAGAGGGGGTTAAAAATGTAAATCTTGCTCTGGAGGCTTGGTGCTGTGCGGGGGTGGGTGGGTGGGAGGCCATGGCGCCCCCTGCTGGGGAAGTGGCACTTGGGCGGCTTTGTTGTGTCAGTGATGGGCTGTGGAGAACTCTCAGCTGGCAGCAGAACCAAGGGAGGCTCCCCAGCCTGCCAACTCGGCTCAATCAGAGGCTAGTGGGGACGTGGTCCTCCTCACACAGTGGTACACAGCCCTGGCTCACCCCTCTGCTTCATGCTGCCTTCTCTGCTCTCTGCTGCCTCCACTGGACAGGGAGATGTACAGCGGGGCAGGGTAGATTCAGACCCAGTGAGGACCAGGGAACCCTGTGTATTTCAGAATGTCCACACAGATTGGGAGGAGAGGAGCTTGTTTCTCTCTCCCTGTTTCTTTCATTCATTCTTTCTTTCTTTCTCATTTTTTCTCTTTCTGTCTTCCCATATCTCTCTCTCCTCTCACCCCCCTCCTCTCTTTCTATCTCTCTTCTCTCTCCAAATCGTTCTTCAGGCTTGTCCTTGAGCCGTGGGCCGGTTTCATTTGTGAAACTGCAAACAGCAACTCCCTCCTGACTCCCAGGGCCTAGAACATACGCACAGCTGGAGTTCTCTAGAATCTCAAAGTAAATGATAGTGCACTGGTACCTCAGAGGTCCAATTCTGCAGAGACACATACACAAGCACGCAACTCCAAAGAGACTCACTCGTGTTCAGTGCAGAAAGTTCACTTTTCTCTTTTTAAGGGCAGATGACAATAGTAAAAAATAAAGCCTGTTAAGGTGGTTGGAAACGAACACTAAAGCAATTCAATGCTGTTTAGACTCTCCTATAGTCCTAAGCCAGGTGCTGGTGTGGACTAAGTTACAAATTGAGGAATGTATTTCTTTCATAGAGAACTTGGCTTTCTTTGTCTCGGTCCCTTAAAGATCTAATTTTGTAGGAGAGTGGAAGCCTTTAGTATTTTACCTTTTGACATCGCTTACGACCCAGAGAAAATGTTTTTGTATTTTCACACTAATTATCAGGCTTATACGGATCTCGATCCTTTCAAGATGTTAGACCGGGAAAAGGTGTATGTACAGTACGGCTGATTTAAAAAATTGGTGTCGTTTACTTAAAAGTGTACCAGAGAGAACATTCTGCATATTAAAAAGGAAGAAAAACAGATCCTAACCTCCTAAACTGTTTACTGCCAGGAAACTAGTCTAAATGATCCTTTAAAGTTAAGGTTGGCCAATGTTGTTTACAGCTACACACGAAAGACTGCAGAGTAAGAGCCTGGTAATTCATACTTGGACACTATTCTGAACATGGCACTAGAACTGTGAAACGTCTAGAAAGAGATTCATCATAATGAAACAAATACCTTTTTCACACTATTGTCCTGACCTAAACCAAACTGTCCTGGCTCAGATGTTTTTCTTTGTCCTTTTTAACATGGTTCCAGCAACTATGGTGGATGTGTAACCAGGCCAGCTCATTACAGCTTGGTTTGGTTCGGCTCAGCTTGGTTCAGTAGTATGAAAAGCCTTTTCGGACTAGGATTTGGGGAGATCAGCGTATATTAATGTTGGAGTCCTTCTGTCTGTGTGTGACCCTCAGCTAAGAGGTTTGGAGTGTCAGAGGTACCTTTGGAGGCTGTCACCTTCATCTCCCACGCCACCCAGTCCCGACTTCGCACTGTGCTAGAGAAGGTCTCCTCCATCGCACAGCACAGGATGGATGGCTGTAAAGTAAGTAGTCGTGCCAGAGACAGACATACCTATGAGGAGGTGGGCGCTTTTTACACTTAAGTGATAAACACGATAGCATAGTTTCCACAGAAACATATTTTTCAAAACTTTGAAAAATACCTGATAGATCTTTTTCAGGCCTCTGTCTGACACACCAACATTGGTGACATAAACATTTAGCCTTGAATATAGCAATGTAACCACATTTAATTGGTTTACAATAAAGTCAATTCAATTCTGCTCCTTGTAAAAGAATGAAAGCAAAAAACATAGCAACTTTGAAAAGCTGTTTTCCTGTGTGTATGTGAGGCAGAGGAGCGGTGGGGTGGTGGTGCTACAGCTGTCCCTGTCTTGTTTTGCCTTTTTTGCGGTTTGTAAATGAGGCGTGTTAGAAGCGTGAAGTCTCCTCGTCTCTGTGAAGCCACTCTGTTGACATCAGCGAAAAAACCAACCGGGCGGGCGGCCTGGAAGAGAGCGCACAACTGAGTTACGGAAGAGGAGAGGAGTGCAGGCTCAGCTCTGAACAAAGGCGGGAGGAAGGATGAGAGAGTGGTGACAAGCCCTCAGATGTCACTCCACTCTGTGCTCTGCTCTGCACCCAGCTCCTCACATCGCCACAGAGAGAGAGATAGAGTGAGAGAAACTGATAAAGGGTGTTGGGGGAGAACAGAGAGACAGACAACACACAGGGAATAAACAATTGTCATATTAACTTTTTGATGACCCACAAACTTTGTTTTCCTTCTGAAACTTGTCTCATCTTCCCGTCCTCCCAAGTGCAGAACAACATATTTAACACAACGAGAAGCGGTGATGCATGTAAACAAAGAAAAGTTGTGATTAGTTATCTAAACTGGTGGTTGAGCGAGACGAGGTGTCGAAAGTTGGAATAGTATGTTTATCCAAACGTGTGGTTAATATGAGATCTTCTAAGGATCTTAAGTTATTTTACATCCACACTCGCTCTCTCTCTTTCTTTCTCCCCCTCTGTCTCTGCAGGATGAGGAATGGTATGAGCAGTCGGCAGACGTGCGGTCGCAGCTAAAGTTCTTTGAGCAGCTGGAGAGGATCGAGAAGCAGAGGAAGGATGAACAGGAGAGAGAGATCCTACTGAAAGCAGCTAAAGTAAGTCCTAGTCACCTTCTTGTTATAAAGACATATATCCCTTTTAGTTACAACCACACAGTCAAGGAAGTGTTTTCACATTCAAACCTGATCTTTAGCCCAATTTAGCAATACCCTGAAATCTTACCAGTTTCAGTTAGCCCATTTCCAATCCTGCCCAATGCACCATGAAGGCCAGTGTAGGGACTGTAGCTCTGTTGCTGTGGTGTGTGTTACTAGTGTGTAAGGTAGTGTGTAAGGTAGTGTGTAAGGTAGTGTGTAAGGTAGTTTGTAAGGTAGTGTGTAAGGTAGTGTGTAGCTGTGCTGTGGTGTGTGTTACTAGTGTGTAAGGTAGTGTGTAAGGTAGTGTGTAGCTGTGCTGTGGTGTGTGTTCCTTGTCAGTGTCTAGGGCAGTGTGTTGTGTTCTCTGTTCCTGCCCAGGCCCAAGCTAACAGATGAAACCGAGTGCGCCCTCCGTAGAGTGACCTCAGTGTGTCCTCCCGTCCCTCCCACCCCCTCGCTCTAGGGCTCCTTTGTCCTCTCATTGTCCCCAAACACAACAAGCAGAGGAACCACTGTGGACCTCTATACACTCCTCTGATCTGATCCTCCTCACATACCCCCTGACACGCCCAGAGCTAAGAGCGTGTCGTTTCAGCCATCTCAGTACTCAGGAGAACCAGCTTCAACAGTAGTGGGCTGGGGAGCCTCAGAGAGCCTTACAGAGTCTCAGAACGGATGACTTGCATCTAGGCAGTCTCTGCACACTCATGTGTGTCAATCCATTCACACTGACTGGTCTAAACACTTCTTGCACACACTTAACTTGTATAAGATTGTAAAATGACTTGTATAAGTTCTCACATACTTCATACAATTTATCAAAGAAGACAAGTACATAATTCATTAGACATACAGTATGATGCAAAGGTTGAAATACTGTCACCACCAATAGAATGTGTTTTGAAGTGAAATGCCCACGGTGAAACATTAGAGAGAAGCTTGGTTAATTTAATACATTATCGGGACCATGTCCCATAGTTGATTGCATTACCACCTCGCCGTGTTAACAGCATTGTCATGCAGGACATTAGAAGCAGTCAGACTGATGAACACTGACCTGCCTTCCCTCTGTTAGAGTTGGTAGGAAACTACTGCCGACAGCAAAGCTGTTAAGCACCAAGCTTTATTTTGTTATTTTGAAAAATATGTCATTTACATTGACATTTAGTCATTTAGCAGACGCTCTTATCCAGAGCGACTTACAGTTAGTGAATACATATTTTTTTTTTTATACTGGCCCCCCGTGGGAATCGAACCCACAACCCTGGCATTGCAAACGCAATGCTCTATCAACTGAGCTACATCCCTGCTGGCCATTCCCTCCCCTACCCTGGACCAATTGTGCGCCGCCCATGAGTCTCCCGGTCGCGGCCGGCTGCGACAGAGCCTGGATTCGAACCAGGATCTCTAGTGGCACAGTTAGCACTGCGATGCAGTGCCTTAGACCACTGCGCCACTCAGGAGGCTAGCGGCCTAACTATACGTGTCTTTAGAAGGACTATATGACAATACGTTTTACTGGACATCAGTTTATCACACCTAAAAAAATCTAACTAATATGCAATATGTGTTGTCTGGGCTCAATATTATGTCATAGGATGGTTTTGTGGCATATTAATTAATCTGACGCTTGTCTTGTCTAATAAATCCCATTGTGATCCCATTTTCACTATACACCTCCTACAGTATATTTCTGTGTCTACCTGCTGTATTCAAACAGTAGTGCAGGTAGATCCAGCATCCAGCCACTGTACTGTTATGCACCCTTTGTTATCTCCTGTCCCCTTCCCTTTCTAGAGAGAGAGCTCATAATGAGCTGACAGAGGAGATGTAAAGCATGTCAGTGGCACCATGGCCCTTTGTAAACAGTCCATCTGTGTCCCTGTTTTCTCCCCCCAGACTGGCTCCCTTTATAATTTGACCTCTTAAATAAGAACCTACTAAAATAATCACCTCCTCCACTCCCACTCCTCCGTCCATTTAAAATATGACTCAAGTCTTCAGGGATGCTCCGGCCGACTGGAGGGCAAATGCATTAGTTTTAGTTGAGATACCGACCAGTAGGTGAAACGCCTGATATATTTAAAGCCAATTAGCAAGGAGTAGGGCAAGACGACTGCCTCTGTTCATGAGATAGTGAGGGAAGGAGGGAGGGAGGGAGCCAGGGCACGGGTAGCTACACTCTTGCTTTCCAGCACCACTGAAGGCAAATAGCGTGTGATTGCTTATAGTAGAAGAGCATCACATTCAGAGATATTAATGAAGTAGTCTCTAACACCACCGGGATGACCATGCTCTTAGAGAGCCAATGTTAAAGACACATTGGACCGTTACTAGTCATATCCCTAACCTTCATTCAAGCTAAATGAATTGATGCTAGTTAAACAGGAAGTACATTTTTTATAGAATTATTCCCATTGCTATGGCACTGTTGGCTGCCTGTATTACCATAGCATAGACGAAGACCCACGGGTCAAAACGTTGTACAATAAATCTGCGAGAGCATTCAACAGTGTATCTATCTTTCTTTCATAGATTGATAGGAAATGTACATAGCCTCTCTGATAGCTACAGTAGGCTAGTACTGTGATAGTGTGGTGATCTGGCAGGGTGCCACTAACAGTGAGCCTTTAGAAGAGTCCCTGTATGGTTAATTAGAAGCCCTGTGGTTAACATCTCACACAGACAGGTACAAGCAGCACAGGCAGCTCAGCTCTCACTGACTAATTACAGTGGAGCTCCAGTACTGTGGACTCTGGTCCTGACTCTAGAGAGATACGCATACACACACACACACACACACACACAAACACACACGCAGCAGTGGCACCGGAAACAAAAGAGGGACAGACAGACAGAGTGCCAGTGCCTGTGACTTTCTGAGTTTGAGCACATTCTCCCAGCCCTGGCTCGCACAGAATTTTTAATAACCTCCTTTGATTAGAATCTCCCTCCAGCAGCTTATTTACGGCGGGATTTGGCGCAGGTTTAAAGGGCACTGGCCCCAGGCGCTCAATTGCACTTCTATGAATCCGAATACGATGTCCTTGACACCTTGTATCCTGTTCCCATTTTGTACTATTTTTGTGCTGGCTGCAACAGATGAGGGGGTCCTTAAACCAGCTGTTAACCTGTGTTCCCCCCCCCCCCCCCCCTCCTTAACTCTGCAGAGTCGCTCCAGGCAAGAGGACCCAGAGCAGGCTCGGCTGAAACAGAAAGCTAAGGAGGTAAGCGCTGTGCTGGAGATCATTACCCTTGACATTTTCCCAAGACTTCAACATATAATGTTTCATGCCTCGCTACATATGTAATTCCATTTAAAGGTCTGACTTAAAAAGTTGTAGGAATTATTTGTGCTGATTGATGTCCGCCTCGTTTGGAAAAGTGGTTTCTATAGAACAGAGACACCACACCAAATATCCTATTTCTCCTCTCTCTCTCTTTTCTGGCTCCCGATAACATTTTGGAGACTGCTGTTCATTGTGCATGGCTCTTTCAAAGAGATAGATTGGGGGAGCCTATTGGTGTTGTGAGTACAGGTTTCATATTCACCATAGCACTTTCCGTAGAGCCATTTGCATTGTAAAGGCTGATAGAAATAGGTTTACTGTCCCAGTTATATATACATTTTAGTTCAAAACAATGAAATGGCTTTGGCACTGTAGGTGTACAAATGGGAAATTTCGAAAAAAGTAGCAAGCGACTGTGCTTATTTGTTAAATTGAGTTGTTTTAGTCCCCCAATTTTATAAATAAATAAAAACGTATATATGGTGATCATGTGACTCCCCAGTGGATAAAAAAAATAAAAGTAGACCACTCTTCTTCTTTGCGGTTTGTTAACTTAGTTAAATAGTTTGGATACGCTGGAAGTTGGTATGTGTTTATGTTAATCGAAACCTGATGTACTGAAGTATGTTGAAACCAGAAGAGCAAATAATGACTTGTGATTATTGAAAGGAAGAGTAGGAGCAACAACACTGTACACCTGCAGTGTCTTCAGAAAGTATTCATACCCCTTGACTTATTCCACATTTTGTTCTTACAGCCTGAATTCAAAATGGATTAAATAGATTTTTTTTCTCATCCATCTACACGCCAAGGTAGTGGGTTCGATCCCCGGGACCACCCATACACAAAAATGTATGCACGCATGACTGTAAGTCGCTTTGGATAAAAGCGTCTGCTAAATGGCATATTATTTTATTTATTATTTACACACAATACCCAATAATAACACACAATACACAATACACAATACCCAATGCAAATGTATTGAAAATTAAATACAGAAATATCTCATTTACATAAGTATTCACACCCATGAGTCAATACATTGTAGAAGCACCTTTCGCAGCGATTACAGCTGTGAGTCTTTCTGGGTAAGTCTCTAAGAGCTTTCCACACCTGGATTGTGCAACATTTTCTCATTATTATTTTCAAAATTCTTCAAGCTCTGTCAAATTGGTTATCGATCATTGCTAGAGAACCATTTTCAAGTCTTGCCATATATTTTCAAGTATATTTAAGTCAAAACTTTAACTCGGCCACTCATTCACTGTCTTATTGGTAAGCAACTCTAGTGTATATTTGGCCTTGTGTTTTACATTATTGTCCTGCTGAAAGGTGAATTCGTCTCCCAGTGTTTGGTGGAAAGCAAACTGAAGCAGGTTTTCTCCTAGGATGTTGCCTGTGCTTAACTCCATTTCATTTTCTTTCAAAAGTTAGTTGATTTTCCAATGTTTTATCACTATGCTTTCAACCATCTAAAAACACAAGCAAATTCCAATGGAAAAACTTATTTTTGGTTTAGTTGTTAGCCAAATGTACAGTATATCACTGCGCTTTCAACCATTTAAAACCACAGCAAAGTTCAAAAGGGAATACAATGTCAGATATTTTGTTTTGTATTAATATAACAGATGAATGTGTTATCACTGTGCTTCATTTAATAGCAGAACCAACCGACATGGACTGCAGTTGAGATTACATAAAACATGGTGCAAGTGATCAATGCCGTTTCGAGATGTTGCGCAGATTATTACAGCAATTGTAAAGATCTCCACAAACCTGTGACGACATATGCATGCCATGCTATTTTCAGGTCTTGCCATAGATTTTCAAGTAGATTTAAGTCAAAACATTAACTCGGCCACTCATTCACTGTCGTCTTGGTAAGCACCTCCAGTGTAGATTTGGCCTTGTGTTTAGGTTATTGTCCTGCTGAAAGGTGAATTCATCTCCCAGTGTCTGGTGGAAAGCAGACTGAACCAGGTTTTTCCTCTAGGATTTTGCCTGTGCTTAGCGCCATTTCATTTATTTTTTGTCCTGAAAAACTCACCAGTCTTTAACCATTACGAACATACCCATAAAATGATGCAGCCACCACTATGCTTGAAAATATGGAGAGTGGTACTCAGAAATGTGTTGTATTGGATTTGCCCCAAACATAACATTTTGTATTCAGGACAAAAAGTTAATTGCTTTGCCACATTTTTTGCAGTATTACTTTAGTGCCTTGTTGCAAACAGGATGCATGTTTTGGAATATTTGTATTATGTACAGGCTTCCTTCTTTTCACTCTGTCAATTAGGTTAGTATTGAGGAGTAACTACAATGTTGTTGATTCATTCCTCAGCTTTATCCTATCACAGACATTAAACTCTGTAACTGTTTTAAAGTCACCATTTGCCTCATGGTGAAATCCCTGATCGGTTTCCTTCCTCTCTGGCAACTGAGTTAGGAAGGAAGCCTGTATCTTTGTAGTGACTGGGTGTATTGATACACCATCCAAAGTGTAATTAATAACTTCACCATGCTCAAAGGGATATTCAATGTCTGCTTTTTTAATTTTTTTTGTTTCTTTGCTAGGCATTGGAAAACCTCCCTGGTCTTTGTGGTTGAATCTGTGTATGAAATGCACCGCTTGACTGAGGGACCTTACAGATAATTATAAGTGTGAGGTACAGAGATGAGGTAGTCATTCCAAAATCATGTTAAACACTATTATTGCACAAAGAGTGAGTCCATGCAATGTTTACTCCTGAATTTATTTAGGCTTGCCATAACGAAAGGGTTGAATACTTATTGACTCAAGACATTTCAGCTTTTTATTTTAAATTAATTTGTAAAAAATTGTGAAAAACATAATTACACTTTCACATTATTATTATTATTATTATTATTATTATGGGGTATCGTGTGTAGGTCAGTGACCAAAAAAATTTCAATTTAATACATTTTAAATTTAGACTGTAACACAACAGAATCTGGAATAAGTCAAGGGGTGTGAATACTTTCTGAAGGCACGGTAGACCATGGTAGATCTCTAGCAACATAGATCTGCTTAGCCACATTCCAGTTCTATGTCCATACTGTATACCACTTAGTATGAAGCAATGTATTGGACATGTATTCCAAGTGGTATGCTATGGACATTAGAATGGTGATATTCTCTCCTCTCCACTCTACTCTCTGTAAAGAGATCTTACACTACCACCACACCAGTGTGAGGTGAAGTGATGCCTTTCCTTGGCTCTGTTCATTCGTTTAGAACCTTGAGACTAGATCTCAGCCTACCCATAAGCCCTAGCTGCATATGCAAATGAGGCAGTGTAATAGGCTGTGCTGCGATAGGTTCGCCCTGGGGCGGTGTGATCAAAGTGGATCTCCTCCCCGTTAAGTGGCAGGCCGCTCATCATCTGGATGGGGCCAGATTATCTCCTGAGAAAGAAACGCGGGACTCGCACGTTCTCATTTTCATTTTAGAATTTTAAGAAGGAGCAGAGGGGGGGGGGGTTGAAACTGTTACTTTATGTAATGTTCAGTGCGACAGTCAGGGACAACACCACTACAGGGGGAGTATTTTTTCTAGGTTTTTTCATCCCCCTCTTCTCTCTTTTTTTGCTTAATGGTCGTCGTTTCTCAGTCCCGTGCCTCTCTGGTTTTCATCACCTGACTGGCTCAAGGGGACAGAGCTAGCTGTTTGTGTCACCGTGGTTACTGCAGAGGGAGTCTGTCGGTGGCGGCTCCTCGTTCAGCACATCTGCACAAATTTCATCAGGATAATGAGGCTGAGCTGCTCTTCCAGGCGACGGACGGACGGGTGGAGAATCCTGCCAACTCGCTCTCCGAAAATCATTTTCAATGACAGTGTTATATACCTGCTACAAGAAATGTGTGTTGAAATTGAGTTGGCGCATGATTTGTTTTGTAAAGGCAGGTGTGGTGTATTGGGAAGGGAGCAGTGAGGAGGTGTTGGGGAACTTTATTGAGGCGCTTACAGGTGAATTACATCCAGTCAGAGTGGGCTGATAGAGTTTGTATGATAGAGACATATACTCTGGTAGTGTGATGGCAGACTTGGCCACATGTGGCCTCTATCGAACCTCTCCAGTTTCCACCTCAACCTAATCCATCGCCCTGCCCCCCTCAGCCCCCCTCAGCCCTCAGTACCGCCCAGGCAGATAGCAAAATGCATAAAGCCAAACGTGTGTAGCGCCCCTGTTTCCTCCATTCAGAAACATTCGCCCAAAAGGTCAGATGGGCTATTTTAGAAATGCCCCCAGTGAAAATCAATGGCCAAAACAAGTATTCCTTTCTTGTTTGGTCTGGTCTGTGTGCTCTGTCTGAAATCCCACTGAGGCAGGAGGCGAGGCAGTGCCTAATCATCAGGTCCTCTCAGCACTGAGAGAGGGGTGGGGGGAGAGTGGACCAGGCCTACATACATCACAGTGTCAGACACACAGACACACTGCGGCCATAGATTCATCATCAGAACTCCGTCTGGAGGCAGGGAGAGGAGAGAGGAGATAGGAGAGAGGAGAGGAGAGGAAAGGGGAAGAATCTCTCTGGTCTAAACTCATCATCCCCCAGGACCTCACATCCCACTGGGCACATCGTAATTTCAATGTGGATAACTTGGTAATATTTGGTTGAGACGTTGATCAATGAGATTACAACCTATATTCACCCACTCAAAAAGACAGCCAAAAGTTAGTTGAATTTCCAATGTGTTATCACTATGCTTTCAACCATCTAAAAGCACAACCAAATTCCAATGGAAAAACAATGTCTTATTTTTAGTTTTTAGTATATCACTGCGCTTTCAACCATTTAAAAGCACAGCAAAGTTCAAAAGGGAATACAATGTCAGATATTTTGTTTTGTATTAATAATTTACAACAGATTAATGTGTTATCACTGTGCTTCATCTAATAGCAGAACCAAACAACCTGGACTGCAGTTGAAATTACTTTAAAAAGACATGGTGCAAGTGATCAGTGCCGTTTGAGATGTTGCGCAGATTATTACAGCAACTGTAAAGATCTCCACAAACCTGCGACGACCTATGCATGCCATGCAATCTTGACCATGCATGCTTTTTATTAATACATAAGAAGACATTTTTAGTTACAGTAACCTCAAAATGTGGCCATGGATGTGTTCCTCATTTTAAAGTTTAATGTTACATTAGTTTGTAAGATAGCCTTATCTTTAGGCTATTTAATGTATTACAACAGTAATATTGAATTTTGTTTGGTTGACAACGCAACCAAATATCAACATTTGGAGGAGATGTATCTACTGCTTGGGTAGTTCCATCTGTGCCACCGGCTTAATCCCATTCTTTAACTTTTATTTTTGGTTGAGTTGGAGACGTGAATCCAACATACTGTATCATTTGTTAACTTGTGGACAAGTTAATAGGCTAAATGTATTGTATTTCAGAAGGGATATTGAAATGTGTTTGGTTGTCATTGCAACCAAATATCAACATTTGAATGAGATTTATCTTCTGCTTGGATAGTTCCATCTCTGTGCCACTGACGTAGTCTGGCTTTAATTCCAGTTTGTCTACAAATTAATAATTGATATGTTGGATTCACGTCTCCATCTCAACCAAAAATCAAAGTGAAAGAAAAGGACTAAATCAAATCAAACTTTAAATGTACTTTAAATAATAATAATAGTGGTGCAGTGGCGAGTGGCGCAGTGGTCTAAGGCACTGCATCGCAGTGCTAGCTGTGCCACTAGAGATCCTGGTTCGCATCCAGGCTCTGTCGTAGCCGGCCGCGACCAGGAGACCCATGGGATGGCGCACAATTGGCCCAGCGTCGTCCAGGGTAGGGGAGGGAAGGGCCGGCAGGGATGTAGCTCAGTTGGTAGAGCATGGTGTTTGCAACGCCAGGGTTGTGGGTTCGATTCCCACGGGGGGTATGAAAAAATTAATAAAAATATAACAAATAAAAAAAAATATTGGCCCAGCGTCGTCCAGGGTAGGGGAGGGAAGTGCTGGCAGGGATGTAGCTCAGTCGGTAGAGCATGGTGTTTGCAACGCCAGTGTTGTGGGTTCGATTCCCACGGGGGGTATGAAAAAAAAAATAATAATTAAAATAAAATGAATGCACTCACTAACTGTAAGTCGCTCTGGATAAGAGCGTCTGCTAAATGGCTAAAATTTAATAATAATAATAATAATATGCCATTTAGCAGACGCTTTTATCCAAAGCGACTTACAGTCATGTGTGCATACATTTTTACGTATGGATGGTCCCGGGGATCGAACCCACTACCCTGGCGTTACAAGCGCCATGCTCTACCCATGGGCGGAGCACAATTGGTCCAGCGTGGTCCAAGGTAGGGGAGGGTTTGGCCGGCAGGGATGTGGGTTCGTTTCCCACGGGGGGCCAGTATGAAAAAATATATATATAAAAATATAAAATACATGTATGCATTCACTAACTGTAAGTCGCTCTGGATAAGAGCATCTGCTAAATGACTAAAATGTCTACCAATTGAGTCCTATTCTATAACTGATTTGGTCACATTTAATTTGCTCTGTTAATGACTTCGATAGCAACAGTGAATCGATTTTGTTTTTAAGTGGAGATCTCTCAACAATCATTCTCACGATAGTACATTGGTAATAGTCAGTGACAAATATCAAAGTTTATCAGTGCTGGGCTTGGTTAAAACCCTGGATGGGAGACCAAAGGGTACCTGTAGATAGATACATTCTCCAGTAGGAGGTGCTACCCAGCCTATATTTTTCTGATAGTGGATATAACGTTGAAGATCTGACGTAGTTTTAAAGGTACAAATTCAACATATTTTATACAAGATTTGTCTATGTTGCAATTTGGTTACCATAATAACATAATCCTGTGGTTGAAATTTTACCCTCAAAATAAGAGTTGATGACTTTTTTCAAATTCAATATATTTCCACGTAGATTCCAGGTCACAATGCGTTGACAAATTAAGTTAAAACAATGTTGATTCAACCAGTTTGTTCCCAGTGGGATGGTTCTGGCTGTGAGAACACAACTGAGAGGTCGCTCAGCTCTTTAGCCTATGATTGGTTGGGAGGAGTCGGTCAAACGACTGTCAGCTGATTGGGGTAAATGGTTTCCCTAGAATTCGTTGCCTTTGTAAGGACAGGCTTTTATTTTGATGTTGGCCTTATCCTCCTAATTTCATTCTCGATCAAACCAGCTAAGAAATGCGGGTCATTGATGTTTCGGGCCATGGCTTCAGAATCTAATTTGTCGAAAACCATAAATAATGAATGGTAAATGTGTTATTGGAAAAGCCCAATTATATTTTATACACCACATGCAATGCCAAGGCTGAGCGCAAAGCTTTTTGCTTCAGGTTTCCCACTAAAAGAAACATTTAGATCATTGAAATATTTGGAAAATGGGTTACAGACTTATCACAGCTTGGTACAGCTACGATAAACTTCCTGGAAAAATAGGAATTGAAAGTGGTGAACTTTGGCATCGTCAGATGACATGTTGATGCGGAGGAATATCAGGGGATGGACAGTTGGACACAGAAGCCTGTCTTTTGTTCCTTCCTCAAACACACCTGATTTAAATAATCAACTAATCATGGTCTTCAGTCTGGACATGATTAGCTAAAGCAGGTGTGTTACTGCAGGGCTGGAATGAAAGCCTGCACATCCAATTGCTATCCAAGACTGGAGCTTGACATAATGATGATCCTCCACAAGAATTGAACATAGCCTGTTTATTTAGAGGCATATCACTATACAGTTTATGTGTCTTTGACTATAAGGACTGTCAGTGAGACTGTTGTTAAGACAGCTCTTGGTTGCTCTGAATGACACCCCCATATCATCATCACGAGCAGGGCCGGTTCCAGGCCAGAGGGGGGCTGAGGGGGTGAGATGTGGGAGCCCCTGTCTTCCCTTCCCCTCTCTTCTCATCCAGCCAGTCGGATCTGTGTCCTTGCAGCGTTGCTCTACTTTAGCTCAGAGTGATTCCAGACCCGTGTGAAACTGAGAGCTGTCCAATGGGAATCTCTCTGCTTTTTGTTCGAATAATTTTCCTCAAATATTTTTCCTCCTCGGGCGTTCAGAGGGAGTTTTTTCTTGCCTCGTTTGCACACCAGGATTGATCATGAAATGTTTTGAACCACGCAGCAATGAATTCTGCCCTTGCTCAACTCTCAACCTTGTATGGCACCAATTAAAAGCAAGAGGCGTTATATGTACTGTATGTCCTAGCCGGATGCATAAACATCTACATACATCCACATACTGTCAGTAGCATCAACATGACATAGAAACACTGGTCAACATTTTTACATTTTTCTCTTCCATCAAGAGATATTGTAGATTTAGCCAACTTATTTTAATTATAACCTCTGGATGTAACCAATGTGCTCCAAGACATCATTGGCTCTAAGACACATGTTCATGATTGCCCCCAGCATCCCCCACAGATGACCAGGTCACATATAGCCTGTAAAAACGCCTGTGCAACAGGCCCCATCATGCAGCGCTATTTCTCCTCTATTGTCAGATGTGTCAGAGGACAAGGCTACAGTGCCATGCATTTATTAGTGCTTTTGTGTCTGTTGTATCTGTGGTTCACGGCCTCTCATCGTTTGGCCCCACAGAACCCGTCATCGTGCCCAGTGTAGAGCGCTCGCTGTTAGGCATGCTCAGGGCTAAAGCCTGTCAGACTAATCACTATGATTATGAAGCGAGTTTGGGCTAGTTAACGGAGCACTGACATTTGGTGATATACTGTAAAGCCCAAAACATGGCAGTAAATCTCTCCCTTTCATTTAACTTTTACGTTTGGCTTTTAAAATATGCTCTTTGCGAGTCTCTGTACATGGAAGATTGTGTTCTACTACAGGAAAAACAGCGAGGTTAAGTACCTCTAACCTCTTAGTGGTTATTACAAATGTGCATGTAGATACATGCAAATATCAGATATCCACACATCTTCTCAAATATTTCCCATTCATGAAGTGTTTCATCAGTGTTGTTTGAAAGATCAAAGCGGGGCTATTTAATTGTTAATTTAATTATTTCAGAATAAAGATCTGTTTTGATTAACTCCTCAATATGCACAGGCTACTAAATAGTCCACACTAGCACTATTTTTTGTTTTATTTGTTGCTTTGTTGTCTGGAGTTTCAACTTCTCTCCGTTTTTTTTTCTTTCTTTTTTTCCTCAAGACATATTATAAAGAAAAACATCACAAGCCTTTTAAAAATACCTTTGGTGTTCCTGTGTGTTTTCGAATATTACAAAGTCCTGTAATGAGAAGGAGAAAAAAGAAGAAGAGAGATTTGCCTCAGAGGGAGATTGCGGCTCGTCTTCTCTTGCAAAAGGAGCCTGTAGGACCACTTTTTCTTTGTGCGCTGTAGCACTCCTTGGGACTCCTGCGACAGGGGAATTGGGTACGCTGAGCTACGCTCGTGGCGAGGTGCCAGCCAGCCTCCCTCCGTTCCTGGGAAACAGCGAGAGGAGAGTAGAGGCAGGATTGAGGACATGTTTCAATTAGGGAACAAACACCACACACACGGATGAGAGAGGAAGAGCTCAATCCTGACCAGCCAGACTACCTCATATTCTCTTAACCTCTCTGTCCTTTCTAAACTGTACCTGCACCAGAGAACAATAGCTCAACCAGCCTGCCCCCTTTTTATTTGAGAAATGCCATTTGTATAGAAATTCACAGGGGAAGGAAGAGGAGGGTAGTGTAAAAGAGAGGGGTCTTTCTTTGTGAGTTGATTCTCTAAGTGTGCCAGCTCTGCCCGCATGTTTCCATTAGATTGTCATGTTGGCTAATTAGAGAGCGGCAGCATGATTCACCTTGGTAATTAGCAGGACTTGCACACCAGGTGCCTGGAGGCTAGTGTGAAAGAGGAGCCCAGCCTCAGAGCCCTGCAGTCTCCTCTCCCCTCCGCTGCCTGCCTTCCCTCTCTCTCTCCCAGCTTCCCTGTGAAGATTCTCTCTCTTCTCATCTACCTTCCACTTTTTTGATTTGGAAATGAATAAATCATTGCGATCGTCCTCGTCCTCTTGAATATCTGAGTTCACATCTTTTCCTAGATGCAAATTATACGTGATCAATAGAAAGGTGATGAGCACCGAATCTAACTCTTTAAAAAGAGACGGGGGAAAGAAAGCGAGAGGGGGAGAGAAGACTGCTAGCCCAAGCACGGTCGCATGTAAAGGGAGACAATGTGAAAGAAGAACATTTCAAGTCGGGAATCTTCCCTTAGATAAGCATTATTTTTAATGATCTCCGCTTTCCTGGCGTTTCCTTATAATGCTGCTGCTTGAATATGCTTATCAGTGATTTCTGGGTTCCTCTGTTTAAAAACTCCTATTATTTAAAAACTATTCTATAAATGTTATTCTACAGAATGATAATACTAGCTCTGTGGATGGGTTTTGGAGTGTGTTTTATACACAACCAATTTTATATACACAGTCTTTATCCAAGGTTTAATTTCTGCAAATAAGTTGCAAATAAATACGAACCGTAGGGTCATAATAGTGGCCCTCACATAATGACCTTAGCTCCGGGGAGGGCTCAGAGCACTGAATAATTGGTTGTTGGCTCTGGAAATAGTTCTGACGTATCCATCCAGCTCAGGAGAAAATAGAACACGCCGAGACTATAACTAGGGTTGATTTCCATAGGTAACGTATATGTATGATGTATATGACAGCAAACAGATGCCTTCCTTCATCGCTCTATCTTTTGAAGAAAAACACTTGGTTGAAATTCCTCAATGTGGTATTAGTCACTGCACATGAATGTATTCATTGTGATAAGCATGTCTATGTATAATAATGTGTTAATGCAGTGACTCATACCTACGTACAGTATGTGTGTTTACGCAGAATAAATACATATTATTGTGCATAAAACAATTGTAAAAACCAAAATTGAAAGACGCTTTCCTACATGTCAGACAATTTTCTTTCCTGCATCTATTTGGGATCATTTGTATCCAAATCCAGTTCAGTTAAAGGGGCCATCTGAGATTGCTACATCCATTTTTTTACTTTTAAGTTAATGATATACAGTGCCTTCAGAAATTATTCATACCCCTTGACTTGAATTCAAAATGGAATACATAAATTTCTCTCTCTCACCCATCTACACACAATACCCCATAATGACAAATTGAAAACATGTTTTTAGAAATTCTTTGCAAATGTATTGAAAATGAAATACAGAATTATCTCATGTACGTAAGTATTCACACCCCTGAGTCAATACTTTGTAGAAGCACTTTTTGGCTGTGATTACAGCTTTGAGTCGTCTTGGGTATGTCTGCATCAGCTTTTCACATCTGGATTTGGGGATTTTCTCCCATTCTTCCTTTAAGAGTTTCTCAAGCTCTGTTAAGTTAGATGGGGAGCAGCGGTGAACAGCAATCTTCAAGTCTTTCCACAGATTTTTCAATGGGATTCAAGTCTGGGCTTTGGCTGGGACACTGAAGGACGTTCACATTCTTGTTCTGAAGCCATTCCAACGTTGCTTTGGCTGTATGCTTGGGGTCATTGTCCTGTTTGAATGTACATTTTCACCCCAGTCTAAGGTTGTTTGCACTCTGAAGCAGGTTCTCATCAAGGATTTGCCTGTATTTGGCTCCATTCATTGTTCCCTCTATCCTTACCAGTCTCCCAGTCCGTGCCGCTGAAAAACATCCCCATAGCATGATGCTGCCACCACCATGCTTCACGTTAGGGATGGTGTTCGACGGGTGATGAGCTGTGCCTGGTTTTCTCCAGACATAGTGCTTTGCATTCAGGGCAAAGAGTTACATTTTTGTCTCATCAGAACACAGAATCTTTTGCCTTATGATCTCAGTATCTTTCACATGCCTTTTTGCAAACTCCAGGCGTGCTGGCATGTGCCTTTTTCTCAGGAGTGGCTTCCATATTGCTTCCGTCTCTCCCATGAAGCCCAGATAGGTGAAGTGCTGTAGAGACTGTTATCCTTCTGGCAGGTTCTTCCATCTCAGCCAAGGAACTGGGTTCTTGGTCAACTCCCTGACCAAGGTCCTTCTTGCCCGGTTGCTCAGTTTGGTCAGAGGGCCAGCTCTAGGCAGAGTCTGGGTAGTTCCATATTTCTTCCCCAGATATACGCCTCATCACAATTCTATCACCAAGATCTACAGACAGTTCCTTGGACTTAGCACTGTCAGCTGTGGGACCTTATATAGACAGGTGTGTTTCTTTCTAAACCATGTCCAAACAATTGAATTGGCCACAGGTGGACTCCAATCAAGTTGTAGCGACACCTCAAGGATGATCAAAGGAAATCGGATGAACCTGAGCTCAATTTGGAGTGTCATAGCAAAGGGGTGTGAATAAGTACTGTATGTAAATGAAATTTCTGTATTTCATTGTCAATACATTTGCAAACATTTCTAAAAACATGTTTTCACTTAGTCATTATGGGGTATTGTGTGTAGATGGGTGAGAAAAACATATATTTAATCAATTTTGAATTCAGGCTGTAACACAACAACATTTGGAATAAGTCAAGGGGTATGAATACTTTCTGAAGCCACGTAGATTTTTGAAGAATATATTTAGAAATGCTTACAGAGCTTAGATCAACTGTCATACCCCATCAGAACCCAAAATGTAATTCCCTTGTTTGTAAACAATGCAATTGTAAACAAACACTGTATAACCTCAAAACATGGTTAAAACTATACATTTGATATCATGGCTAGTCAGTCCTTGCATCCATAGCTCTGTCTATGAATTAGAGAGTGGGTAAATTTCTCAAGCCCCATCGCTCAGCAGTTCATCAAAACAGTGGTGAGTTGACTGTTTTGTTGTTGTTTGAACTGCAGATTGTCCCTTTAAATCAACCTGTATACCACAGCTATACAGTGCATTCGGAAAATATTCAGACCCCTTCCCTTTTTCCACATTTTGTTACGTTACAGACTTATTCTAAAATTGATTAAATAATTTTTTTCCTCATCAATCTACATCCAATACCCCATAATGACAAAGCGAAATCAGGTTGTTAGAAATTTTAGCAAATGTATTTAAAAAAACAAAAACAGAAATACCTTATTTACGTAAGTATTCAGACCCTTTGGTATGTGACTCGAAAATT